GTAGCGCGAATTATAATCATGTAAGTTAACAAAAATAATAAATGCTAAATGTGGGAGAAGAAGTGGCGGTGGATTGATGAATTACATTTTAATTTAGAAACTTTTAACACAGTAACACTTGAGGATATATTATATTGCTACGAACTAGAAATGAGAATTTGGAAAATGAATCTGAAAAATTAATTCAATTTTCGAAAAATTTGGACAAATTTGTAAATTATATTTGGTATTGGTTCAACGGTTAGATTGGCTCCAGTTCATAGGCGAATAGCTACATGAATAGATACATGGATTTTTTGTCGAGCATATATACAATATACATTCCACGAACGCGTCAATTTTACCATGTGACGAATTGTCAAATAAAATTAAAGAAATTGATCCTGAAAAAATCAAACTGAAACATTCAACTAATAAATTAATAGATAATTTCTTCGAAATCCGCCATATTCCTACTCATGTTTTGTATTCAATAAACGCATACATTCATAAATTAATACAAGACACGAACAATTGCTACTAACACGAATGTGCACTTGTGTGTGCTTATTTGCATTGTAGAAGCCGCCATTATTGAAATCGTTTATTCAAGCAAAGTTTACAGATAAAGGAATGAAAAAATCAATCTCTTTAATATGGAGAATAAGTGGAGAATGAAAGAGGAAAATGAAAATCCGCAAAAACCGCTTTTCCTTGTCATTTATGTGAATATGACATGAAAAAGTGGTTTCTACGCATAGAAGTACGATATACAATTCACACAATAGCGAAAGTAATTTTAAAACCGGAATGGAGAGGAAAGACAACATTTTTAGGAAATTGAAAGAAAAATTCATTATTATAATCATTTCACGGGTGCAGATAAGTAAAAGGGAATATGGAATGTTAACGAACAATCAGTAGAAAGACGAGGGAAAAGCAATCGAAATAGCTTTTGTGTTATATTTAAAGGAAAAGGACGAGCCTTTTTTTTTTTTATTCTCTCATTGCATATGCAGTCTCTTATATGCTTGTATATTTCATACCCACTCACTCATACATTGAGCGTGCACGTGCATGAAGTTGAGCTAAAACATCTCTCTGTAAAAAACTAGATGAAAAGTTTTCGATTATTTGTCACTTTAAGAACCGTTTGCATATACTAGAGTGAGTTCATTCATTCTTCAAGACACTTTTATATCCATCTTCAATTTTTTTTTGCGTCTATTTATTGAAACACAATTTTAACACAATTTCAATCTGTGAAACGAAAACGCATTAACTGTAGAACTGCCGCTTGCAACAATTTCATTCATTGTCACACTCGCGATTTATTTAATTAATTAGTTAATAAATACAACTACAAATAAAGAAATATTTTCCTAAATATATGTTGAAATTGTATATGTATTTCTAGTATTTAATATATTGAAAATAAATTTGAAGAAAAATCTCGATTAATATTTTCATTAAAATAAATGCGAAAAGATTAAAAATCTATATATAGCTGCATGGTAACAATATTTATTTATAATTTTCTTTGTAGATCTTTGTATTTAAATGGATTCCCCCGTCAAAAATACTGAAGGAACGAAAAGAAAACAATTAGAAGATGATGAGAAAGTAACGAAAAGAGTGAAAGAAGAACTTCCGTCTACGTCATCCTCTATAATAGATAATAAGGTTAAAGGAGAAGGAATAGAAGACGAAAGCTTGACTATCCCGGAGAAGATTTGCGTATGTAGTGATTATCATGAACGATATCCAAAAACGAAACATTAAGCCAAACAACTAGGGGGATGATGTATACGCCTTACCAGCCAAACCTTTTCATGCTTCCTTGCTAATGCATTCATAAGGAGTCTATCTTTAGGATAAATGAAATATTTGTAACAATTTTTGTATACACATTTGGTATGAAGTGTTTATTGCAGAAGTTTTAGCGAGCATGCGTTTGTGCGCTGCAGTCTCGCATGAGCCCTGTAAACATTAAGACCGATGCATTATATATGGTACTCTTTTGCTCATTGCCTGTCTGTTCTGTTAACTGGGGCGATAGGGAGTTACAAGTCACCAAGTTTGAAAACAATATAACTTACCGCATATAGCATTTTAATACTAGCATAGCTTCCGTTTTTAATGGAAAACTTCTTCAAAACTTCACACTCCACACATAAATGTCCATAAATGTTCACCATAACTTAATTCGCTTGCGGCACCTCTTACTGCGCTTTTTGTCATTAATCCGCCTCAAGTGAAAATACAAGCTATACATTTTTTCTTCAAGGACGCTACACACCACATTAATTTAAAACAACCTATCGAAATTGCTAGTAATTTCTACATCTCTACATGGAGTCTAAGCGAACTTCATTTATATATGTCCATTCCAAAAATTTCTTATATATTTTTTGGAAATTCACTTCAGCACTTGTTCTCATTTAATTTGGCTAAGACTTGCTGCCTCAAGTTACTCCAAATTGAAGTAGGGCTAGAGTTTTCTCCTTCATTGTGTTGTGTGATATTTAATTTGAAATCTCTTACTGCATAATTCACAATTTATTTTCATTATCTTTGCAGGAACAAAGCTCAATTCCGATATCTGTGTTTGTCAACCGATTCGTATGGCGCCACTGGTGGAAATCGACTCCCTTTGAATACCGACGGGTCCACGATAGTTGGGGCTATCACGATATTGTCAAAAATAATTCGATGTACCTACCTCATAGTATATTTTTAAATTATTTTATAGTTAAACTATTGGCCTTCAAACACGGAAAGGAGTGCATTGATTACCGAGCAGCGGCCATTGAGGGTTGTCCTCAAATATTTGGCAAATTGGGGGCGGACATAGCTTCTCATTATGAAATATATAAGAGAAAATCGAGTCATCCTATGGCTAATCTTGACGTCGTTAAAATTGTGTCATTGGCACACTTCCTTTATTACAAACAAGCTATACCTGATCCTAATAAGTTCCACATATCAAAAAGTATTCTGTTAAAAATTATGAATTACTTAAATCAACTCCTTTATGACAATATCGAGACATATGTCCAGGTCGAATTTGGGGGACTGATTGGCAATGTCAACATAATATTTCACGACGAAAGACATAACAAAAGATATCTGTATCAAATCAAAGTTGCCCGTACAGATAATCTCTACCGTACATTTTCTCAAGCGCAGCTATATGCATATTGTTACTCCAAGGAAAGGAACACTATGATTGATAAGATAACTATCTACAAACCTCTTTCCGGTGTAGAATTAAGCATGGACGTCGATTTTAAAAAAATTGAGGAACTCGTTTACCAAAAAAATTAACAAATTCGCATGCGAAATCGATTTATGTTATTCTTAATAAATAAACATAAATAAATGATAACAAAATAAGTTTCTGCTATTATTCAGTATCAGTTCTCTTGTCTAGTGGTTTTTTTTTATCCGCATCACACTTTTAACTTAATCGTAGAGACTTATATCGTTGCTAAAAGACGATCTATGCGAGCAATTACTTCAATTGATAGGAGACTTACGTGCATGTTTCATCGAGTATAACACGAAGCATCGAGCGTAAGTCACTATAACAAACTTGATAATTTTGCAGTCAAAGAAGCCGTATATTCTCAATATTTGCTTTCTTGAGCGCCAATTGCTTACTTTTAATTAAGATAGTATCAGCGACAAGCAAATGACAAGATGTTCCAACAATTTGTACAAAATACAAACTATTAATACCTTAGGAACTTCAGGCCTTTCTGTTATCAACAAAAGTGCTAGAGCTGTTCTCTAACAGCAACGTGGATTCTTGCTCTTTCATTCTCGTTATTTGCAAGACCAAGAATGGTATTAAACTGTTACACTGTATCAAACATTAATAATTTCAGTGAAAATATTCCATTAAAATAAGTGAAGACATTTTTTATAACTCAAAAAAGAAAATTGTTTTTCTTTTCAAAATTGGGCACTGTAAGGGAAAATGTAGAAAGAGCGGTCCGATCCGAACCTTATTTAACAGTGTCCGCCCTTTGCACAAAACACACCTTTGCACCAAATTTCATCAATATAAGTCGACTGAGAGAATGATTCTGGCACAAACTTAGCACACCCTTGTGTAATGCGTAGTG